CCCTCTGCTGCCCGAGGCCGCCGCTTGTCTGGGCCGAAGTCGTAGCGTGTCACGGCCTGGCGGTACTAGCAGCACGAGTGCGCCATTAGAAGGTGCGAGGCCGAAAGCACAAGGCGGCCTGGAGCTCCCTGGCGGCGTCGCTCTGCCTGGCATGCGCGGACAGGTGCAAACAGGCAGAGACCATGGTGTTGGTTGAAGCGGGTAGGTCGCGCTAGCACGAAGAGCTGGGGCAGCATCAGCCCAGTCACGAAGGAGTCCGCCACAGCCTATACAGCTTGCGACTCCGTACCTACACCAGCATAAGCCCATGGACCGCAGTGTGCAGATGTGCCTTGTTCACCCAAGGTAGCCCCAGCTTAAGGAGCTCAGCCACAAAGTCCAAGATGTCCTGCGGCCGAGCTCAGCATGGTTTGGGAGGGATCTCCATCTTGAGGCTTCCCATGCTTCTGCAAACGCAGGGCTCCTCCTCCTTGCTCAACGCAGACCGGAGGGCTGAGGCGTTTTTGCCGCGCACGGCTGCTGCCACTGCTGCCTGGGAGCAGCCCTTTCCAGACAACAATGCTAGGGCTGCTATGGCTCACTCTTGTCTTGACAGGAGGTGCCGTCACCCCATGAAAGCATGTCATGAGAAAGGTTTTGCGTGGCTTAGGGCTTCGCATGATGGTGCGGAGTCATATCATGCGAGGATGCCGTCAGGATGTCAAGCCAGGCCACCCAAGCGGACTGCAGGCCGTCCACCAGGCAGGGCAGCATCTCTCCGTTGAAGGCCTCCGGCACGAAGGGAAGGTCACCAACAGGATAAAAACCTATGACCAAATTGACCAAATTAAGTATCTAAAAGTCGTCTCGGGAGGGGCGCCTCCATGGCTGCTTCTCTTACCTCTGGGTCAGAGAAGCCTCTACGCGCCCAGACCCCCTCAAAAGAACTGAGAGTTGGGCGCGGAGGTTGTCGATCTTCAACAGGCCTGGCCAAAGCTTGCGAGTTGCACCGACTTGCGACCTCTGCCGTGATGGTGCAAGCTCTTGCTGCCCAGCGGCTCAAGCAGGTGACTCTCGCACCTGTACGAGCCAGCTCCTCGGTGTGGAGCACCAGCCTCGCGGCCTGCAGTAATTTCTGGAGGCCCACTGCAGACAGCCGGCCGCGCCTTGCGCAGCCTCGTCCATGAGAGGCAGGCAGATCTGCGCAGCGAATATCAGCGAATGCAGTGCCAGCGAGTGGTGCGCGAGCAAAAGCGAGTCCGGGCCCGTGCCTCAAATGGGCGTCGCTTGCGCCGCCGCACGGACTTCACTGCCTGGCTTTGAAGATGGAGAGCTGTTATTTGAGGCGGAGGGGAGAGCCACCAGTCGGAGCGGCCTTGTTTGCCCGGGTCTCCTTCTCTGGGTCCTTTGGAGCCTCGCTCACCCGGGACTTCAGCGAAACTTCCATTCGCATCACTCGCGCAACGGGCTCCCCAGCGCGGGACCTGCATCAGCAGCGACTCCGCCGTCCTCGGCTGGGGCCACGAGAGAGGGGTTTGCTTTCGACCAAGCCCGAATGCCAAGGACGGCGCTGTGCATCCACGCGCAGGGCCAGGCGCTTCATCATATGTACATAGTAAGCCTCAGGGCGTGCACATCGTACCACCGGACGTGTGACTGCAAGTGCCTGACTGCCCTTGATCACGAGCAGCACAGTCGTCCGTGGGAAGCTCCGGCCTGGGCCACACGCTGCAGGGATGTTTGCGACGACGCAGGCATCTCTCAGCAGCACCCGGCAGTCTGCTGGGAGTCGGGCTCATCGTAGAAAAGCCGGTTGTAGGCCCCGGAGTGCAGGATGGTTTGCAGAGCTTCTTCTCTGGCCTCGATTCAAAACATGCGAACTGCTACATTACATCACTTCGGGCGTGCAAGGAATCTGCACCGAATGCCGGCAAGCGGCGTTCAAGACCAGCATGGACCTCAGCTTCACAAAGACTCAAACACACGCCGCATGCTTGGGCATGATACTGGCATGGCATGCATGACGCAGCCGCCCTTGACTGAGTCCAAGGGCACCGTCTGGAGCAGCTGGTCTCGGACCCGCTCAAGGGTCTCGAAGGCCAATAGCCCATTCACGAGGAGGTTAATGCCCTGCGACGCCGCAGGCAAGATGTTGCAGGCAGCAACCAGCCTTGATTAAGCATTGCTGCGGCGCATGAAGGCCTCGTTTTCGGCAAAAAATTGAAATAGATTGTTACGCTTCTCCTCTGAGTTGGAGAGCCTCGCTCGCTGTCACCGCTGACGGGCATCGGGGGGATCCCCAACTTTTTGCGGCTAGGCTGCGCAACTCCCGTCTGGTGGATCCAAACCACCAGGGCCTCTCCCGCCAGTGAACACGCAATGTACGGCCCATGGGGGTTGGAGTACCCGACAGCTGAGCTCGCTGCGTCCGCTTGCTCGTTTGTGTGGGGCAAGTATTTTGACCCCGGCATGAGGCCGTTGCGAACGTCCGTCATCCTCAGCGGAGGTCGGGCTCACACGCCGCCCTGCACTCAGAAGTTGATGTCAAAGCCACCAAGAACACGGCAACGGCACCAGTTCCTCCACCGTTAGCGGAAATTCCTCAGGCAGCGAACCAGGCTCTGCAGCTGTCTCTCTGAATGACCGTTGAGGTTCGGACGTTGGGTGGTGTCTTTGCCTCGCAGGATGCATCACAAAGTCCAAGCAGCTGGTATTCAGCTGCAACCACGCACCTGGCCTCCCACAACGATGCAAACGCCTCTGTCAGACAGGATCACAGG